GCTCCAATGGTTTCCCTTGGGCAACTCTTCACATAGATCAGGATTTCCCAATCGGGACACTGATATTTTGGGCCATGCAATTCTTTTTCTGGATATCTGTGTTTAGTGTCTCTGGCTATGTGCTGGTACTACCCCCTGCCTATTTATAACACGTCAAAAATGTCTCCAGGCATTGCCAAATTTCCCCTGATAGAGCAAAATCATCCCCCATTGAGAACTACATCAAATGGCTGGCTCCTTTCTTTAATCTATTCAGCATATTCCCAGAGTCCCTCCTATGTGCCTCACACTCATCGAGGTGCTAGAAATGCTAGTGTACAATCGAGCCAGACAAGAATGTCTGGTTTATAGACTTTGCATTTAAAGAAAGAGATCACCCATCAATAAATAAATCAAACTCAGATCCAACAGGTTAGCAGTCTTTGTTGAATGAACCGAAAAAAAACAGAGCGAATAAGTAAACTAACGGGAGAGAATCTAGATGTACAGCTAATGCTTCTTTCAGTGGCGCTCTTATCCAACAAGAGAGCAAAGCAGAACCCCTCGGATTTATTACTTGGGATCTGATTCTTATCCCCAGGCTGCTTGTTTTCAAATGGTCTAATGTTATTTAAACAGAATTATCTCTTTCAGGCCACACACTGAATCAACAATCCCTTTTATCTCAGAATGTTACGTCACCTAAGAGGGGATCTATTTTAATCCACATGCTCAATCCACACAGGGTGTCTTTAGTTCGCAAGTCCCGAAAGGCCATCCTATTGCTGAATGGATTATTTCCTCGAGTCCATTACTGGCATTACAGAGCTATTTGGTATTTGCCTTTATGTCCCAACTTCTAGAAAGTACAACATTATAGCTTTCAAAAAAGGCCTTTTTTTTTTTTTTTTTTTTTTTTTTTACTGTACTAACTTTAGTTGGCATTTTCTTTACCATCAGGCACCACACTTGGCCTGCCTAAATGAATGCCTTCTGAGTAGGGTGAGAAAGGTTTACCAGGGACATGGATGGGAAAGAAACCAGCCTCAAAAGAATTCTTCAAAGAAGGCAGGTGGAGAAACTGATCTAGGCACTTCTGAGTGGCCTAGCCAGAAAACCTCTCAAACAATGCCCTTCTTTTAAAACCTCGCCGAGATAGAAATGCTATTTGAGAGAACTTTAGATGCAGATATTTTTTGTTATAATGCTACAAATACATTTATACAAAGGTTGCAATGATTTTACTAAGGACAAATGATCTGTTCAGATTCATCAGAGCCACCATGGGTCCCCGATACTGTCCTCAGGCGAAGTGCCAATGCAGTGACCTTCAGTGTAGTGGAAGGTCACGCTAGCTGAAACAGTGTGTGGCTCAATGGTTGCCAGCTGGGGTGCAGGCGCTGTGTTGTTCCCTTTCCAATAACTATGAGGCTATAAAAGGTGTTGCTTTCTCCTTCACAGGACCCTTATTCAGTGCCTCTGCTTTAGATAAGGGCGAAAAACTCTATAACACTGTCCCGTTACACTATATGGCTGATTTGAGAAGAAGAAATAAACATTTTCTTCAGGTAGCTAATCAGTTTATGACGTAGATGGACTGCTTGCTGTCTGCAAAGCTTTTTAGGCAAACTGCTTTGTTCTGCAAAACTGGATCAAGTGCCCGTGTGTGTGTGTGTGTGTGTGTGTGTGTGTGTGTGTGTGTGTGTGTGTGTCTTGGAGGATTGTTTCTAACGTAATTTTAACATCTAATTACTTCACATTTCCAGAGTACCAGACCATAAAATGGTGTAAATTCATACAGGCAAAATAATCTAACCTGAAAAATAATTTTATGCTTTTAAAAATAGTGACCTTTACTGACTCACATTGTTTCTTAAAAAGTGAGACTGACTTTAAACAGGTATAACGACAATTTATTGAGAGCAAAACTATCCAAACCAAAGACTATTTAGTTTTTCTACTTTTAAAAGTTTATCATTTTTGCCCCAGCCTGTGTTGCTCAGTGATTATAGCATTGGTCCATGCACTGAAGGGTCAGGGGCTCAATTGCCAGTCAAGGACATGAACCTGGGTTGCAGGTTTAATCCTCAGCAGGACAACCACATTGGAGGCAACCAATCCATGTGTCTGTCTCACATTGCTGTTTCTCTTTTTCTCCCCATCCCTTCTACTCTCTCTAAAAATCAATGGGAAACATATCCTCGGGGGAGGATTAACAATAAAAGAGTTTATCATTTTTACTCTTTCTAAAATAAAAACAAAACAAAGCACTTCTTTGAACTTTGCCAAGTTATAATTTTATTATCTGTCTACATGCCCTGTAAGTAATTCACTCACAACAACCTGAAGCCAGCACTGAGGAACTGAGCTCAGTCCTCACTTGGTTAACGTCTTAGATATTCAGAATAGGTGCTTGGTGATGTGTGCACACACACACACTCAGACACCCACACATTCACTCACTAACTCGCACTTTTCCTGGAACCAAATTAGGAGACTTGACGTGGGGTGAGGAACACTACAGATGATGTGTGGTAGAGTTGTGCACCTGGAACCTGTATAATTTTGTTAACCATGGTCACCCCAATAAATTCAGTAAACAAGAAACTAAAAGTTAAATGAAAACTGATCTGATTAAATAGAGGAGGAAAGTCTCAATCCATAAGAAGACTCGGTAAATATTGCAGGGGCTATGCACATCATAATATATGCACACATTCTATTCAAATAATTATTCTAAGGTGCCATTATCATCTAATAATGGAATAAAGGTCATACTGATCTTTCCCCTACCCTGACCAAAAACAGTGTACACAGTGTATGACTCCATAAGACTTACACCTTTATTTGCCTCATTAAAAAAAAAAAGCTGCCAAACAACGAAGCCTTTGTTCTTGTCTAACTTCTGAGGTGGCATGAAAACCACATTCCTGGACACCACATAATCATCCAGTCTGACCCCCCAAGATCCATTAAGTCAAACTTATTTACCCCCAGAGGGCAGCACACCATTGTATCCTCCCCACTTTCCAGCCACCTAGGAACAATGGGCAGTAATTGCAACTGTCACGGGCAGTCAGCAGGAAAGACAGCCCAGCGCAGTGCTCCCAGTCTCCTGCCAAACCTGATGCCTGATCTGAGCACCTAATCACCCTGCCCCCGACAGAAGAAAGAGCCATGGCTGCTTTTCAAACACATCAGAAAACAGCTTTTTGAACAGAACCAGAGGACAATAACCAAACTTTTGCTATGAACGTGAAGCTTAAAAAAAAACAGACAAAAAAACCCCCTCAAAATTAAAGACAGAAACTTCTTTGTGAGGGCACCACAGCTCCCTGAACTAACCCCACAGGCAAGCCTGAGAGCACAGTCCCTCGTCCCTCTGAGCCTCTCATCGCTGCTGTGGCTGCTTTTAAGTCGGACTTGTGAGCAAAACAAGGGAGGGGAGCATGTTTGTCCTCCAATGGAACACAATCACAAGGTTGGGGATAGGAGGGCTTCTCTTGGCTGCTCCCCTTTATCTCAGGAGCAAATGGGTTAAAATGCAACCAAGTAATATAAAGGCTATGCTGCCTGAGATAAGGACACTATTTTGTTCTCTTTAAACTTTGTTTTTGAGCTCTTTAAGGCATATTATTATTTGTCTACATTGGATTCCATTATAGATTTTGTTGATTAGCACCCGTTCATTCTCTCATCACCCATTTCCACCGAGTCATAGCCCACGGAGAATATACCTAAACTCCAAATGGATGATGGAAATACGCAAACATTTTTGGAAGTGTCATGTTATTGAGATGTTAGTGGCGTGTGGACCAAACATTTTAGAAGACTGATCTATGCTTTGCCTTCCTCCTGGATGCTCCGAGGTGGAGCACATTGGGAGAACACCTGTGCATGCACTCATATGCAAAAAGTTGTTTATACCGATATTTCTAATTTTTTTTCCTAAAAATATTATCCTTGAGAATTCAGAACTAAAAGTGTCCTACTATTAGCAACAAACAGAAAACCAGAGATTGCATACATTGATCTGAGAAAACACACTTTTAAATTAACTTAAAAGGACTATTTGACCACATTTTTATATAAACTTTAATCTTCTCCTTTTGTTATTAGTCTAAGTTTATTAAGAAATGAAGATTCAGCCTGGCTGGTGTGGCTCAGTGGTTGAGCATCCACACACAAAGAAGGAGGTCACTGGTTCAATCCTCAGTCAGGGCACGTGCTTTGGTTGTGGGCTCAATTCCCAGTAGGGGGTGTACAGGAGGCAGGTAATTGATGTTTCTGTTTCATAGATGTTTTTATCTCTCTATCCCTTTCCTTTCCTCTCTCTCTCTCTCTCTCTCTCTCTCTCTCTCTCTCTCTCACACACACAAAAAAAAAAAAAATCAAGGATTAACAATAAAAGAGTTTATCATTTTTACTCTTTCCAAAGTAAAAAACAAAACAAAACACTTCTTTGAACTTTGCAAAGCAATAATTTTATTATCTGTCTACATACCCTGAAAGTAATTCACTCACAACAACTTGAAGCCAGCACTGAGGAACTGAGCTCAGTCCTCACTTGGATATGAATATTCAGCATTATCTGATGCCCATATAGGATTTTCCCTCTTTGTTGTATGCAATTTCTGACTCAAACACACACACACACATACACACACACATACAAAAAAAAATTTAAAAACACCAAAAACAGTGCCCTTATTAATACAAAGCAAATTTCTTTTAAATTTTCCCCATTAATCACTCTGGTTTCAAATGTAGATTATGTACATCCATACTTCTAATATGCAGAATATGTGAAATCACTTCAAAATATGCAGCTTTGAACTCTTCTTTAGACATTCCTATTTAAGAAGTAAATCACATATCTTTTCATGATGAAAACCCAGAGCCTTCTAAAGCTACAGGAAGGTTATTTTATTAAAACAACACACCACTTATCCCATAAGGTACAAAGAGAGAAAATAAAAACCCTGATACATTTTGGATCGAAATAATTGTAAACATATTACCTTTTATTTCACCGAAGTTCCCTGAACCCATTGCAAGAAGCTTGTCTTTCCAGTCCTTCGATAGTAGCTTTTCAATACTGGGGGTTTCTAAGTAAAGAAGGAGGAGAAAAAAAATAATGTAAGCAAATCAACATGACTATCTTTACAATGGAGCTCATTAAAAGCCTATCTGCTAAAAACAAGGCCCTCCCTACCCCAGCCCCAGTTCATAATGACTTCATCAACAAACTGATAACAGGGGAGGGGAAAAAAGAATGTGTTTTGTCACCTGCTGTTTCAAAATCATTAGCTTTTCCCTCTTGCAGAACAAAGCCCTTCTAATTCTTTATGACAATGGGTACATATAAACCTGCAGTTCATTGTTTCTCAATTTGGTGAATAAATTCCTGCTATAATGGGTGCTTGTCAATTCAGGGTGTTAGTCTGCAGTCACAAAAATAATTATGTTGATAAAATGCAGGGTAAAAAAAAAAAGGCAAAGAATTAGCTGTTAAATCTGCTACATGTAATTATATCCCTCTGTGTGTTTACAATTACATCCATTTTATAATATGTGTTTAACATCGTGCGGTGGTAGGCACACTGTGGAAAGATTTGCTGCGAACATTTAAAAAAAAAGTTGGTACAAAGGACGCTTTACAAAGATTGCAAAATCTAGAGAGGTGAGTAATGCTTTTAATGGGCACTTATTATTTACTTATTTCAGATTTGTGTCACACTCATTTTCAAATGCCCTGTATTAGGACAGGGCGCACATATTGTAGAGAGCGAAGTTATGCGTCCCTCTGATATTTGTTTCTACATACCACATGGTTTTGACCTCTCCTTTTTGTGTCTGGCTTTTAATGCACAAGTAAATATAAATGCTAATAAAGTCCCCAAACATTAAACTCCCTTCCAAACAATGTAATTGTATGTTCTTGTCAGCATTTAGATGGGTACACAATTACAATGGCTTTGAATCCCACGATTAGCACTGCACTCAGTTAGAAAATGGAGTGTACTAAAAGATAAGTGTCCCAGTATGTGCCATCTAAATGACAATGCCCACACTTATTTTCTAGATCTAAGACATGCACTGCCATTCTCCCCATTGGTGTTTATGTGTATTTGTATTTGTGCAGACAGTTGTCTACCCCCTACGAGCCACATAAAGGGAGTACATGTTAACGTATCAAAGGGACCCTCTGGCCTGGAGACCATAAGATTATTAGAAACTGGCTAATTTTCCCCACATCAAATGCATTTTAAGGCACCTTCATCCTCATCTTTAGCTAATCTATCTACTTTTTTTAAGGCTCTGATCTTATAGCCCTCAGCTGTATCACAAAGCCTATGTTTGTTTGTTTTTAAAAAAATATTTTTTGATAACAGAGAGGAAGGGAGAGGGAGAGGGAGAGGGAGAAAGAGGTAGAAACATGAAACATCAGTGGTGAGAGAACATCATCGATCGGCTGCCTCCTGCATGCCCCACGCAAGGGAATCGAGCTTACAACTTGGGCACGTGCCCTGACCAGGAATCGAACTGTGACCTTCTGGTTCATAGGTCGATGCTCAACCACTGAGCCATGCCACCAGGCTCGTTTGGAGTTTTCAACAAAGTGAAGGTGAAATTTCTTTGGAATAACTGTAACAATCTGGAATGCTTTGTTTTCAGATGTCAAAAATGTATGAAAAAGTAAAATGGTGAAAAACGTCTGAAGTATTACTGCTTTATATAGTCTGTATGTATGGTGAAAATTATATATATGTATACACATTATTATATGTCAAAACTATTGTGTGCATATTTACATATAGGATGTGTGAAAGTACTTATTTTCCTTTGTAACAAAATACATTTCCATTTTTTTCACATTTAAGAGAAAGATCCTAAAGAATTTACTTTTTCTTAAAATATCCATTTTATAAAATGGTAATGACAACTATATGAGCAATAAAATGGATTAAATATACTCTTACTGTATTTGATATTTCTGATTACTGAGGCTTTAAAGGTAACTTTAAATACTTCTGCAAAGATTTCCACTGTTTCTCCATTCCCAGTAAACACTTCATGAGTGAAATTATTTTTTAAACCTTATCAGAGTAGGTCAAACAAACACCACTGTTTCTTTTTCCTAGCACTCCACAAAAATTCTTGAGAAGCATGTAAACAGGGCACAGCCAATATGGTATTTGCAATAGAGTACTGTCAGTCATTAAAAGCTAACAAACCTTTGCAAAGCAGGAATGCAGCAATAGAAATCCATTGTGCACTAACAATAGGCTCCTGAACCTCCCGGCACCAAAAGCAGACCATTTTACTTTTAAGGCTATTGTCTGCAAAGTCCATGACAAAGCTTTTCCCCTGCAGCTAGACAAAATATTCACTGTAGTGTGCTCATAAAGAAACAGAAGTCTCCTGTCTAAGTTGCAGAGTTAAAGAAACAGCCACCAGATTTCTGAAACCTGCAGAACATTCCTGGCCTCTTTATTAACTTGCATAAAGATATAAGTCTCATATATAGAGCCACTTTATTTTCAAGTACCTGACTTTTAAGGTAGACCACGGAAAAAAGAAATAGCTTCTTTAAGGCTAGGTAATTTGAAAGATGCAAAATCGGAAACGCATCTAACTCCTGGTTGTTACATCTGTGGCTGAATAAAGACACTCATATTTGCAAATGGATGGGATATATACTTTAAATTAAGGTTCAATAAACAATTATTGAGCAGCCTATGTGCCAGGAATTCTACTAGATGATTTACCTGTATTCTCTCATTTAATCATAGCAAATCCATGAAGACTCCGGTTGTGTCATTATATCCATTTTACAGATTAAAAAAAGAAAGAAAATACCTTGTCTTTTTCCCAAAATGTTTCACAAAATGTAAGGGGCAGAATTGAGTCTTAAATTAAGTTTTATTTTGTTTTTTCCCCTACAAAATCCGAACTTGCTTGTCAACATCTAAGTTGTGAAGATAGCCACTGTACTGAGGGCCAAACGCTAAGCCATGTACCAGGCCTTTTATGATATCTTAAACTTCTCACACACTTCTTCTGAATTAGGTTTTGGTGTATCCATTTTATGATCTAAGCAGCCAAAGTTTAGAGATCTATTACTACTCGCCCAATATGGAGTTTGTTCCATCTCAAAGTCTTATTAGCTCTTTCTACTACAAACACATTACTTCATTTCACCTGCTGAACAAGTGTGAACATGATGGAAAACTATTGTAATTGTGGGAATATGAATGGAGTCTCCCCACAATGCACCACCCTGACCAGCAGATTATTTTCAGCTGAAAACAGTGAAAGCCTAACAAACTCAAAAGCTGTTTTTTTGTTTGTTTTATTTTATTTATTTATTTATTTATTTATTTATTTATTTATTTATTTATTTATTTATCTAGAGAAAGAGAAAGTAAGAAAGAGAGAAACATCAATGATAGAAACATCAATGATGAGAGAGAATCATTGATTAGCTGCCTCCTGCATGCACTACACTAGGGATTGAGCCCATAATCCAGGCATGTGTCCTGGCCTGGAATCAAACTAGTGAGCTCTTGTCTTATGGATTGACATTGGCAGAGCAAAAGTTATACGTGTGTGTTGTTGTATGTGTGTTGTTGTTGTTATTGTTTGTGTTTTGTTTACCTCCCCTTACCTGCCTAAAACACTTAGGCAGAAAAACCTGCTACAAGAAGGGCACTCAAGCATGGTCATCTCAACACATATGATAAGTGTGGCAGATGAGTCAAGCAAAAACCTGTTCACTAGATGCCCCTTTGCCACTAGGTGGCCTTGCAAGAATTGGTTTTTACCAAATGTTTGCTTTTTCTCAGCTACCTGTGAATTGCTTACCTCCCTTTCCTTTGTCCAAAATGACATTTTGTCTCACTGCCCTTGGAATTTCCATGCTATGTGAATTCCCCATGCATATGTATTAAAACTTTATTTTCTTCTGTTAATCCGCTATATGTTCTTTGAATTCCTCAACCAGCCAGAAGAACTAATGGGATGTGGGGCAAGTTTCCTGCCCCTGCCCCAACATTATTAACTCCGTTGGATGGATGAAGTAAAAACTTGACAGGATAAAGTGAATTCCCTGGATGACATGTATCTATAAGCAGTATGGTGGGATTAAAAGCCTGTATTTCCTACAGTTCTCATTTTGTTCTCAATGCAGCCCCAGAGTATGAGTTTGAACTCAAAAATTCTGGAAAATTTAAGGAATATCTATGACCATTTGGTAGAGAAATACAACAAAATGAAAATGTATTCATATAGTGAAAGACTATTACCATGTTTCCCCGAAAATAAGACATCCTTCGAAAATAAGACCTAGCGCATGGAAAGATAAAACATCCCCTGAAAATAAGACCTAGCTCAACTTTGGGAGAAAAAATTAATATAAGACACTGTCTTATTTTCGGGGAAACAGGGTAGGCTATAAGTCAAACAATTTGGGTTCTCATAAAGACTTTGACATTGGCTTACTAAGAGGGACCAAAAGCACATTGTTTTACCCACTTTGCCTCACTATCTGAGTTGCTGTGAACCATAGAGCTTAAAACAAACAAACCTAGTAGTCTACCAGCTACAACTGTTTCAATTTGTTTCCAGTGGTAGTTCATGAAGGGATGGTTAAGAAATGATCTCACAATAATAAGCACAATGGGTGGACACGGACAAACGACTGAAATTTCTCTAAAAAATTGTAAAGGTTCTATAGAATATTCATAATGAGAAATGTAAAAGACCAAATGGCAAAATCCCAATATTTATAATACACCTGTTCATTAATGTGTGAATACGAGAAAAGTGAAAGTTGACACAATTTGAAAAATGTATTATGTAAGTGCTGCTGCTTCTGTGTTTTTGGAGTAAAAGAGATAGTATTAAATATTCCATTTCTGAAATGCAATGTACTTTTACTAATATATATTGAACTGTGTTTTATATGATGAGTGAGGGATGTTTGTGTGCTTAATTATTTCCAAATGTTCAAATTCATTATTTTCATATTAAGATATATCATAATTTTAATGCAAAACCTTTTAAAGTTTTTCTTGAGATTTAATTCTCCCAAGCATTGGGGTAT